GCCTATATCTTAAAATTCTAAACCCTAAAAAATATTTTGACACCTAGAACCCCATAAACACTCAAAACTAAACCCTAATAGAACATAATTAACCCAAACATAAATAATATAAAGAAAAAATAATTTTTAAAAAGTGGCATTTTGGTAAAGATTTCAAAAATGTGGCATTTTTGTAAAGTGGCACTTGAATAGTGGCATTTTTTGAAATTTCTCAAAATTCTAAACCCTAAAAAATGTTGAGAAATTTCAAAAAATGTCACTTTTCAAGTGCCACTTTACAAAAATGCCACATTTTTGAAATCTTTACCAAAATACCACTTTTTAAAAATTATTTTTTCTTTATATTATTTATGTTTGGGTTAATTATGTTCTATTAGGGATTAGTTTTGAGTGTTTATGGGGTTTTAAGTGTCAAAACATTTTTTAGGATTTAGAATTTTGAGAAATTTCAAAAAATACCACTTTTCGGTTCACATCGGTTTACGACAATTTGATGATGCCGGTTTGGCTGCCTGGAGTGTCCCTCATTATGAACCAGACCGGTTCAGCTTGTTGATGCACGAACATATACATTTTTTCTAGGCCTTCTTGCTTGTTGGCAAGTTGCAACTGCACATATAAAGAAGATAAATTAAGATTGAATTTAGGGAACTAGACTACCAGCAAACAGATATTGAAACAGGAATGCGTGTTATTGTCTTTATAGACCTTTGATTTTGTACTTCTCCAGCCTCCTCTTCCTTAATCTTGCTGCTTGCAGCATCATCTTCTGTGACATCTACTTGATCAGCAAAGAACAAAATCTGCCAATAAGTAAATATTGATCTTGATTTAGCAGAGCTCAAGACAATGAACCAAAATCATAAAATGAGCACTACTCCGAAGAATCGCAACTTACTTTGCTTTGAAACTGGACATTTGATGAATCAGTAGCCATGATTTTCACACCGAGACACGTGTTTGGGATACTGCAGAAAGGGCAGAAGATAGTATTGAAAACACATCCATCTTCCTCGCACCAAACACCTTTTGAGCCTTCCAAACTTCCGCAGAGTCTCTGATGAACCAATGAGCAATCTGTCATTACAACTGAAACACTTGTTGACATTTCTGCATAACCAGCTCCTGATGATGTTTCTTTCAGAAGAGACAGCAAATGCTTTTTGGACGACGAAGTCAACATGCAGTTGAGATATGAGTGGTGACCTAAAGGGTTTTTGCAGAGGGAACAAGATACTTTGTAGTAGTTTTTGGATCTTGGTTCGCTACTCCCAAACCCGAATTCGATTTTTCTCGTGTGATCCGGAGGTTTAGTACTAGGAGCATCACTGTTTTCTTCTTCAAGGTCAATGATGACTGGAGAGCCAGTAAATTTTCTTCTCTTCAAGGCATGAGAATTAACACTTTTGTTCAAAGTTGACTCTGCTTCTAGACTCGAATTAACGATGGAATATCTCTCTGGAGTTAGTATTGCAGACGATTCAGCTCCAAGAGGAGATCTTCTCAGGTTTGGACTAGATATATGCCGCTTTAAGAATTGATCAGAAGACCTCAGAGATCTTTCTGAGCTAGACCTTTCATCACAGTTGGTCACTGACGACACATCACAACACCTGCACATGACAGTTTTTAAGTTTGTTAAAAGACAGATCTTAACAATAATAACCTTACATTATGCACTAGTTCAATCCGAAGTTTTGAATCTTGTGTATTACCCTTCGCAATCAATGTCAATGACTTGTTTGCAGCATTTAGCTTCTTCTTTAACTTGAATGAATGTTTGAGCATGTACATTTGGTTTCCTGTCTTTATTATGATCATTGCTTTCGTTCGTAAAATTATATCTTGGAATTGAACTTCTATAGTCCACCTTCCTACCTGCCATATCCTCCTGCACACAAATGAATTCATTAGAAAACACCACAAAACAGAAAAAGATTGGTTGCTTTTAGAAGTGTTACTTTTGGTTCCACATGACTAGATTTGTTCTGCATCTGATTTTCACTCCTTTTGCATTCTTTGCTTTGGTTTTCCCTGGACTCTAACTTCTTAATGTCAACTCGCTCCTGCATGAAAATTCTCAAAGAATTATAATGATTATTATGTATATAAACTTTCATATCATGGAAGGGAATGAGATGGATTCAAAAACCTTGACAGTGTTGAAAAAAGCTTTTAAGCCTTGCATAGATTCTTCAAAATTATCATACAGATTGATAGACTGCCTTAGCCACTTTGAAATAGACACTCTGTTCCTTTGTTGTCTGTATCGCTCATCTGGTACATCGAAACCTCAGAAGCTATACTGAAAACTATCCACAGATATTGAAGAAATCTTATAAATTTACCCAAGAATATGATTGCACCATAATCAAACCTATGCCGGATACATCGCCCTGTAAAGAACACTTTAGTTACTTTATTAAAATTGACATGAACCAAGTGAAAGAATGGAAGTTATCACATCGAACAAACCTGCGGCTTGATTTAAAGCACGATAGGCCTGTTGGCAATACCACTCACTTCCTCCAAGAAGGTTTTTAGATGTTATGTAAGCATCATTATATTTCCTCTTTAGTTCGACTTGAATAAAAAAAAAGTGATTTGAATATTATCTCTGGCAAAAAGATTTGGAACGAATCTGAAAGATTTTAAAACACTTACAAGTTTGAAAACGGAATGCCAATAATTATCTGTATGTAATCATCAAGGTTTAAACAATAAGCCAATTTCAGCAGTATAAATCCTAGAGGACTAAGAGTAAACGACAATGCATTTGAAAAAGGATACCACGGCCCTCGCGTAGTCATCAGTAAAATCAATCCCTTCTGAAACCTGTGAGAAACATGTTTTGAGATCGGATTGCTCGCTTTAATCAAACATCAACTATATAAACCAAGACAAAGAAAACAAACCTTTCCTCTACATACTGCAAAAAATGCAGCTCCTTTCTTGGAATCATCTTGAGCCTCGGTCATAACTTGACTTGCTTTCTTNACTCTTCTGCTTCATCCAATCGATCGGTTCTTTCCGCTTATAGAATCATAATATTCCTTCAAAACAGAAGGTAATTCGTCCGTTGTTCCTCCTCTTGGTTCTGCAACCAAAGACAGTTATTTGATGATAGCACAATAGTTTTCTTTTACATGATCACAGTTCACAGAAGATAGATGTTACTCACCAATGAAAATCTCCTTTTTCAAGCAGAGCCGAGACCATTGTCCAGTTTCACGCCAACGCGTGCAGAGTTTTTCCATCAAGTTATAGCTTGGAAAGAATATGAGAGAGCCACCTGGTACAATAGTGCAAATTTCTTCCAACGATTTTCCTATAGCATCCTACAAAGCAAAGCAGCGCATTGCGTTTCTACAACACACAAAAGTATTGCATCGCAGTACAAGAAGAACACATTTACTGGCAAAAAGAGATTGAACCGGTACCTGGAATGTTTCTACATCCGCTGTTTTATAACTTGCATTTAGAGGAAAATTACCAGGACCATTGGAGATTGCACCAGCCCACACCTGGAACAAAAGAACGTATGTTAAATCATATATTCAGTTTTCCATGAAACTGTTGCTAAGTAGACAGCTTTCGTCAGAACCTGAAGATTGGCATCAATCACATGTGGAGCCTCTAAACAAGTGCCAAACTGCATCCCAAGCTCAGATGAGAAAGAATTCATCGGTGACAAAGTCCTCTATTTCACAAGAACCGAGAAACTCGAACTTATTCATTACTGAAAGAGATTAGGCTCAAGAAACAATGAAAATTTAGCAAACCACTAGCCAATGGGTTAATGAAAAGGATAATGCTTACCCAGATGTTAAAATGATGGATAAAGAAAGATCAGCTAACTCTTTGAAAACAACAGATGGATTCATGCACCACAAACTGAAAGTAAGCGTCCATTTACCAGAAGAATCTCCTGCATCCCAATAGAGAAACAACGAAGACGGTAAAGTTTTCACGCATTCGGCTAAACAGGTCTATACAAAATTCATGTTACCTTTTTTAATAGAGCGTTGTAAAACCAGTTGGTAATCGAGGATGTGACTTCCATTTCTCGAAAAGAAGTATGTAAATGTAGCCAACAGCTCTGCATCAAATACTTTTGCAGTAAGCTCTCATCCTCGAAACTATAAATGCTTAATAAAGTTAGAGCAAGACGCAAAAAAACCTCGTACTATCTTGAAAGATATCCCACTCAAATAAGGCATATCTGGATCTATTTCTGCTGCCTCTAAGTGTAAGATCGCCTTGACCAGTAAGGACAATGTCACATTCAAGCCTGAGTGATTAGCCAGATAACATCAAAGAAATTACTTACCTGCTCAAAGCATTTCAAGGATTCTTCAGTGATATTAGACTCCTCGAACTCTCTTAAAGCTTTGTCTCCAGTCCAGCTATGACATGATAAATAGCAAAAAAAATATTATCAAGAGTAATGCAAATAAAATATTTCATTCACTAATGCAGCGTAGAGTAACAATGTATTCGAATTTCGGAAGAAAAGACTCCATTTACCCAGAGAAATAGTGTTCAGAATCACGTTTTGATAGCGAATCCTTTCTTCTTCCAATCCATTTTATCAATCCCTAGATACATAGAACCCTCGATGTTAAACATAATCCGCAAAGATACCTCTGAAAAATTATCCGGCAGATAATGACTTACATCTACTACTGTACACAAGGGTTGATATGTCACTGCATCCTCCTCACTCATCTCTTCTAGTTCCATCTGCAGTTCTTTATAATATATAAGCCAACGTCAGTAAACAAAGCCACTAATAACCGCGGTGATAGTTTGAGTAGCACATACTCAAAAGCGTCTCTTCTTCCAAGTCAATGCTTCCTGCTTCACGAGCAATGTCTTCCATATTGCTGTAGAAAGTGAAAGTGTTTAGTAGACGGCCTTAAGTTAACCATCAACATCACCAAGCATACTAAGAAATTCCAAAACTATCAAAACAAAGAAGCTTCATCTTACTGTGCTTCGTCAAAGATTATAATGGCTCCTTTGAGCTTTCTTTCTTCTCGAATGACCGGATCAATTATATAGGAATAAGGTAAGGAACCGAAAAGTACAAAAATAAAAGTTGAAACCAAATCTAACCTCTAACAGTTTCTCCAACTTTTACAAGATCTTCAATATCATGAACCCCACCATTGTCACCGTCTTTTCGAATTGATGGATGGGCTATGATAAAATTGGTACATCTGAAAGTTAAAAGGAAAACAATTTAACATGATTTAACAACAAAAGTGGAATAACAAAGAACTTACTTGTACTCGAGACATTTGGGTCGACTAGACAACAAAAAGAATAGATGTTAGTATATGAATATGGAGAAAGAGTTGTATAAATGGAAAAAGATTTACCATCTTTCATCTACATTATCTTTCCCTTTTACATAACGATTGATGCAGTAACGTTTCCGTGAACCCTGACACAGTGAAAATGTGACCCATGAAGGTAAACAAAACAGCCATGGGAACTCTGTAACCAGTTTTCCGATACTCACGAATGACTTGAGTGATCTGAGCATGTGCTCGTCTAAGAAACAAAACCAATCAATAAGGAAAAAACAAAACATCCAAAACCTAATCATGTAAATAATGCTTACGAAGCATAGAATATGGTAGGAATCTCGTCATTGGTAAGTGAAGGAGTATCTGTTCAGAGATAAACCAAAATTAATAACTTCACAAAAAACCTAAACCTAATTATTATTATTAGATGCCAAATTTTCATTAGTATTTTCACTAACCTGAGAATATAGTTTCGCCGTTTTGATTCGAATGAGACAATTTTTCTTTCCGAAGAATTTGTTTTTGGTAGTTCTGTTGCCA